CAAAACCCCAAAACCCCAAAACCCCAAAACCCCAAAACCCCATTTGCATCAATTTAAATACAGAAGTCAAAGTATTGTATAATTAATAAAATTGCATTAATTCATTATTAATAAAGTGCCTGATAAACTTTACAATGGAAAATAGCAAGAAGGAATAGTAGTAATCTGAATAATAGACCTATATCCATACCTAATCTCCTCATTCCAGTAGCATAATTCAGTTAGAGCCTGAAATTCAAAAAGCCCTAATCTTTGACATTAACCATTAAGAATACGGATTACCCTTAACTCCAACCAAGTTTTTCCCCTAATTATAGTATCAACCTAAGGATTTCGGTATCCTCGACTAATTTCCAATAAAAGAGAAATTATACAGTGTTTAATTATCACCTACAGTAATATATCTCACATCTCATGAAGAAACTGACCAAGTAAGTCCATCAGACATTAATATGTAATATAGCAAATTATTAGAAAGAGCATAATGAAAAACAAACTCCTTAATGATGTTCAAATTCAATATGCCAGACAAGAATGCACAATATAATCTCTACTGAAGCACGAGAATATCGTAGAGCTTTACCATTATACTGAAAACGATTAAGAGATTACTCTGCTTATGGAGTATTGCAATGATGCTAACTATTTTGAGGACAGAATAGAAAATGTAAGTTTATTGATGTCCTTTTCTTCTAAATAATGTAAATTGCTTAAATGGGGTGACTCTGTAACACTCGAATTAATTTAATTCTTGCCAAATTAATAAAGTGTTACGTCACCGTAGAGAGATTCATTATTTAAAATTCTAATATTCTTAATCCGCTTTTGCTTAATTTTTTCTTAGAGTTTAGAGCCTATCGAGGATATGGAAAAACTATAGCAATATGGTTAAGATATTTTGCACGCACTAAACTATCTTCACACAAATGGGTATATCCACAGTGATATGAAAATATAAAATGCTTTGCTGAATCGTAACGAGGAAGAAGGAGACGATATCCCTATTGTTAAATTATGTGATTTCGGCCTTTCGCATGTTATAAAGCCAGAGCTGAATGGAAAGGCATTAATGATAGAGAAGTGCGGCACTCATGGATATATCGCCCCAGAAATTCAAGCTAAGAATAGTCTTGTGGGTCCTGAAATAGACATGTGGGGCTTCGGAGTAATGCTCTATGAAATGTGCACCGCTTATAAACCTACCAAACTTCAAAATTACAGATATGGTAAGGCTCCTCCAAAATTAATAGTATTGATAAGATCCAGTTACTATGTGAATTAGTTATGGATCCGATCAATGATAATAAAAATATGACTAATTTTCATTGATACTTAATAATTTTATTATAGGATCAGGACCTATCCCTTTCAGAGATAGAGATTGGAGAAAGGTAAATAAGCATATTAAGGATTTGATAATTCAGTGCTTGCAAACGGACCCTAGTAAAAGAATAAGTTCTCAAGATGCGCTATAACATCCCTGGTTTGGCAGCGAATGAACAAATTGAGTGAAGTTGTAGATTGATTTTAATATCATTCACATGCTAGTATCAAGTATATATTTAACAATACCAGTATCAAACATTAAAGGAACACTATCTATCATCATATTAAACCTATAATGCAAAATTTATCATAATTACCTTAATTTGTATTAAAAAAGATGTCCATTTTATCTTTATCTCCTTCTCTCTATTTCATTCTTAATGGGGTTTTGGGGTTTTGGGGTTTTGGGGGTTTTGGGG